GTCCAAAATTCTGAAAAACAACATGAATTTCTCCTATTATTTTTTCAGGTTCAGTTGAACCACCAGACTCTGTCAGGTCTTTACCAAGGTAGGCACAGGGAGATCAGTTTAAAAATAGTGCTTAAAACTGAGGTACCAGAATAATAAAACCCAGAGTAGAAACTGGATCCTGCCCAACCTCATGGAGACTGGTACAAGATAGAACAGAAACATGAGGCACGTGGACAAGACACCAGAGTTTTTGAAATGAGAGATCAAGGGGAGATAAAACTAGAGCGTAATTCTCTATTTCAGGAGCCAGTGGGGGAAAAAAGTAGATTGGGAATGAAAGTGTATGGTGGATTTGAGGGGCACTGTGGGGAAAATAACACCAAGACTTGCTGATAGAAAGAAGTACTCGGTCCTGACAAATTCTTCTTCACTGCTGCTATGTCAAACCCAGTAAATGATTCTTCAGCTTTATGAAAACTGTTTTAAAGTTTGATGTATGATTTCCCAGCCATGATAATTCTCACATAATGTTAGAGTGTATATTACAGTTCTTCACTGTCTAAAATAGATTTAAAACAATTGGTGATGGCTGAGTAGCTCCTCTCCAGCAACATCTCTCACAGATTAGGGCATCTATGGCCCTAAAAGTGAAGAGAATAATCTTAGGACAAAGTAGGAGGTAGAGCCTCAAGTCTGGTACATATACAGATGTTCAGGGCTTATATAGCTCATAACCAATGTGTGCAAAGGAATCAAAGAGCATAGTTAAGTCCAAGATAATGAAAGTGAGGTTTCAGGTACCAACATCACAGAGAATTTATACTTTATATTTAGCCAAGTTACGTGCCTAATAAAACAAGCAAATAAAAATGTTAACCTTTCAAAGGAATATAACAGAATCCAGATTGTGTAACATTCTATTTACAGTGTTTCAAACACAATTCAAAACCAGATATACAAAATTTTTCAAAAACATGACCCATTTTCAAGATAAAAAAACAATTGAGATAGACCCTGAATTGACAAAAATGTTAAATGAGGAGACCAAAGTTTGAAAGTAACTATTTTAACTATTCTCAAAGTTGTAAATGAATGGATAGGAAATCTTAGCCAAAAAGTATAATTCTCTAAAAAAAGAATTACTTGGCAATTTTAAAACAGAAAAAGTAGTAGAGTAAATTTAAAAATAAATCACACAAGATCGGCTTAATAGCAGAGTGGAGATGACAAAGGGAAAATGAGCAAAACTGAAGCTAAACCAATAAGAAATTATCTAATTTGAAGGCGGAGATAAAATATTGGAGTCAGAGAATGAGCAGAGTCATGTAGATTTTGCAACAGTACTCAAAAATAAAATATTTGGAAGCCTTCAGAGAAAGTAGAGAATGACATGAAAAAACTTGAAGAAATAAATGCCAAAAATAACCCAAATTTGATGTAAGACATAAAAAGATTTTCTTTGTTCTCACTATAGCCTTTCCCTCAAGCTCAACGAATTCTCACATAAAGAATTGAGATTGTTAAGTGAAAATTGCCATAATTCTCCCTGGCAACAACCTAATTTCAGAACATTCCAACAAATCAAAACATCCCATATCAGATTTATTTACTTTTTCAGATTTATGTGTCTGAGAAAAACAAAACACTCTGTTAGATTTAGGATACCCTATTAATCATCAAAATAGTTTTCCCTTCAAAATAATTTTTTACATGGTCTCTCTGTTTGACATTGAAAGTTGTTTACATGTCATGTCTTAGAAATCGTAGTAAAATTTGGAAATTTGCTTTTTCATTGCAAAGGGAAAGGATAAATGGGAAAAGATACCCTAAGGAGCACTAGAAAATTGAACGAATGGCACATAGGTATTCATCTGCCCCTTAGAAAGCTTTTGCACACCCAAGAGTGTATATGTGTGTCAGAGCTGAAGAGTACTCTGTCAAGGCAAACAGCTGTTCTGCTGTGGACAGAGAGAATGAAAAGCTGGCTTTAGCAGACTGCCACATTCTAAAGATCCCCTTGTGGAAACTCAGAAAAACATAACCAACATTCAGGATTCCCTCAACTCTGCTGTCATGGTTAGGAGCTAAGTTTTTTTTTGTTCTTTTAGTACTGGGGATCGAACTCGGGTCCTGCAAGGCAGGCCACCGAACTGCTGAGCTAAATACCTGGCCCTAGGAGCTAAGTTTTATATTGATGTCAGTATCTTGATCCCTTCAGATATGTACTGATCTTTGCAAATATCTGCAGGATGTTTGACAGTGTTCATTAATGAACAACTTTGGCAGAATCCACTACTCCACTCATTAATTGTCTACAGATCAAGTAACTTATTTAATGTTAATATCAGTGCTGTTCAGGAAGAAGAAGCATGGAATTTTAGTCACACCCAGGATATATAGATCTTGTTTGAGCATTTGGTGAAATATTGATCTAAGAGTAAAAGCGCTTTTGTTGAAAACTATTATAAAAACTACCCAAAGAAATATATATTTGGACATAAGCATTTACTTCTACCTGTTACTGGATTTAAGTCCTGAGGGTGGAGATAGAGGAGTCAGCAGAAACACAAAGATGAATCAGGCACACAGCAGCAATTGCTTGTCCTCTCAATATGGAATCTATTTCACAATGTCAGGTATCTCTTTGGGATCTTATGTGCTATTACAGTTCATTCACACCACAGAAACTATTCGGTATTTATACATGTGTGACTTATTTATTTCACTTAGGAGTATAAAAGGGCTAAAGGTGTAGGGAAAGTGGGAAGGGTAGGGGAAAGGTAATAAGGGAAAAGAAAAATTGTGAGAAAATGAAAAAATTGAAATAGAGTGTTTGTAAATAGGGAGGGGAGGAGGGGGTGAAGGGAGGGCAGGGACAAGGGGAAAAAATGAGAACCAAGACCACCTGTCATGTAAAGGTATAAGATCCCAGTAATGAATGTAACTGTACTGTGTACCTAAAATGTACCAATAAACTCAATAAAAAATATGGAATCTAGACATATATCAAATAAAATTTCATAAAGATTCAGCTAGCAAATTGTATTCAAGGTGAATGAATCAATGATATATGGTAAACACGGTGTATTGAGTATCTAATGAAATTCTTGCAATGAAAGGCTCACAGAACCCTAACCCTGAATTTTTCCTAGGGGCGATGGTTCAGTATTTATTAGTTTACTTTTCACAAAGTCTGTACAGAGCAAAGTTACTGAGAATAATGAAAAACTGCTGTGTCACATCTGAAATGGAAGCTGCTCTGGATACCTTACACACAGGACCATGATCTTCCTCCTCTTACCTCTTCCTCCACCAGAGGAAACTACCGAAGCATCTGCTTGGAACTTGACCCCAAGAGCAGTCTTCAAAACAAACCCAAAGTATTGACTGAATGTCTCATTTTACCAATGTGTTTGACTTAATCTTGTTAATGTAGCAAGTTCTTGCTGATCAAATACAAAGCTAATACAATATTAAATCGAATAACCCCAATTAGGAAGTCCACATATGTTTCAGAGTCAGAGGTTGATTCTACCTTTACAAATTCAACTGCTTTTCCTTATGCTCAGTGAATCCTGAGAGAAGCACACAGGAGTATGTGTCAGCTTAGCCTCTCAAGCTCCCGGTAAATTAATTACTGCCTCTGTGTATTAAACGAAAATGTGTGGTCCTGAGTGGTGCTGCTGCAGGAATGAAAGTCACTTCATGGCTACTCTGCTTTATAAAAAGAAGGCTTGAAGCCTAGCAAGAATCAAAGAAAAATACAAAAACTAACTTTTCAAATGGGAGGGAGATCAAGAGTTGGAGAGGGGAAAAGGAAGGAGAAAAGGACAAAAATAAAAAAGAATTAAGATGTGTTATGTGCATGTGTAAACTCCTCACAATGCATATAAACGTTATATACTAGAAACGTGTACTGATAAAAAGTACATAATTAAAAAAACAAAAGCATAACAAGGACAAGCAATCTAATGTATAGAAGAACATTTGGTAGATGTAACGATGCGAATAACCACCGGCTCTGCCTGCAGTTTTCAGTGAGTAGTTTTCTTATAACTGCTGCTGTTGTGTGGTTTTGGTTGCTGGGAATTTAGCAAAGCTAAACACCCTTGGGTAGGGTCCTCATCTAAGTGACATTTTGCAACACAGAGACACCTGGGAACATCTGTAGACATTTTTTATTGTCATCACTGGAGGGGGAGTGCTGCTGGCATCTGACGGGTTGAGGCCATAAATACTACTAAACTTCCAACAGTACAAAGAGCAAGCTCCCACAATTAAATAAAATGTATGTGGTCCAAAGTATCGGTGGTGTCAAATGGGAAATCCTAGTCCTGAGTGACTGAGGGGCAATTCGGAGCAGTATTATGCAGCTTAAGCAATTATTACTTCTATACAGACAACACTTTGCATTTAATTTGATTCTCCAGAAGGGTGGTTCCTAAATCTGCACTGAGTAGCAAGCAAGGATGCCATCCTAATCTCTTTGTGCAGAGAGCTCAAAAACTTGGACCCCATATGTAAACAAAAACATACACATCCAGTAAGCTCATCATATGCTGTTGGATCATTCCAGAGAAGTTTATCCCTTGGCTCACTACTTTGGTAGAGTCTGTGCCTGATTTGATGTCTCCAGGACCACAGGGAATAAAAGAACATAAAAGTCATGTGACAAATCCTAAATTATGTTTTCTAAACTATGAGTATCAGACACATTGCAGGAAAATGAACCAGTCTAGTCTAGATAAGTCCCCAGAATGGAACAGTGAAAGAACCTTTGGAGAGCTTAGCTTCCATTAGCTTATATGGTTATTTATATAAAACACCTGTGATCTACACATTATGGCTTTGGTTTGTGGATAAAGAGGGTGGCAGCTGTTGACAGATGCTTGAGAAACTTCCCTGTAAGCGGAATGCATATTCTTTGGCTCATATTTATTTTACTTTCTCTTCACTGCCAGATCATTTACCTGTGTCTTCCACTGAATATCTTCATTTCTTCCTAACAGATCACCTGCAAGATTTTACATGTCTTCCACCAGTACATGATGGCCTGTAATTATTTCTGGATGCTCTGTGAAGGGATCTATCTTCATACACTCATTGTGGTGGCCGTGTTCACTGAGGAACAACACCTGCGCTGGTATTATCTTCTGGGCTGGGGTAAGTATTTCCCCCCACTGAGTTCTAAGCCACCTGAACCTGTGTTTAAATGTTTACAGCCTTCTAGTCTTGGCTTTAGAGAACAGATTCATGGTCCTAGGTCCCTCAAGAAACAATGACACATAGGTATAGGCAGGAATTCAGTTTCTGAGAGAGCTTGGTGATAGACGTCCTCTTACAATCTCAATCACATTGTGATGAACTTCAGGTTCAGACCAGAAAAAGAAGGTTGCGGCTCTAAAGCTGTCAGAAAATAACCAATAAACTCAATGAGAGAAAAAAAATAAAGAAAATAACCTCAGCTAATGGATGAACACAAAATATGCCCTGATTGAGAGATTTGATCAGGCTTTCTTTTATTTTATACTTTACACATGTGCAATGCAAAGGAGAATTTCATATTTTGAATTCTGTACTTCCCACCCTAGCTCCATTTTCCTCTGTCAATCCATCATCAGGACTCCCCCAGTGAAAATCTAGATAGCTGATTTCAGCTGAGAGGCAAATGTTGCCAGAGCCTCCAATAGAGGCTTCCTGATATCATAGCACAGGGCTGTGAAAAGCCAAGGGTTGGATTGTTTGCCCTGGTGCTTCTTTAGCACAGATTGACTAAGTGTACTAGGGTTTATTTGGACTCCCTGAGTTGCCCTTCTTTTCACAAGGCTGCTAAAATTCTTGGTGAATGGGACAAAGTATATGGTAAGTCAGTGAGAAGGAAAAAGCATTAGGACCAAAAAAAAAAAAATGCTGCTTTTTCAAGGCAGAAAAATATAAATTTGCTTGAAAGACTCATCCCAGAAGGGGAATAGATGGGCCATCCCATCCTCACCATATAGCTGAGGGCTTCCCTCATCAATTTGACTTATAGGGTAGCTGAATTAGTCAGCTTTCCCATCACTGGGATACAATACCCAACACATACAGTTTTAAAGAGGATTTTAACTTGGCTCATGGTTTCAGGGATTCAGTCAATAGTCAACTGGTTCCAACTCAGAAACATCATGGTGGAGCAAAGCTGCTTCGTTCATGGTGGGCAGGAAGCGGAGCAGGGGGATAGTTCCAGAGAGGAAGCCAGGGACCACCAGATACATACAAAAATCCCCTAAGAGGCTTCTGATCCAATAAAGGTGACAATTCAGCCAAACCTTCCGAGTGGCTATACCTCCGAGAACTGAGCTTGGATACAGATCAACTAAGTCTGCCTCTTAAGACAGTACACTGGGGACCAACGAAAAATATTTGTAGAAGAGCAAACATTTAGTGAAGCAGAAGTGTGATTCCAAGAACTCTTAAGCACATCAACTTTTAAACCTGAGGCTCTGCCCAATAGGCATTGTTACCAACTTCATAGAAATGTACCTGGGATATCCTGTACACAGTCAAAAAAGGCTTTTTCTGTCTGTATAGCTGCGCTTACTGTACACAATGCTATATTAGTTTCCACAGTACCTTTACCTAATAGGAAAACATGAATTTTAACAAAATACATTGCCCACATCCAATGGGATAATCCTATGATGATGTATCAGTGGTACAGGTGCATGAGCTGCCTCAAAATTGAGCTTATGATGCTTCCACCTTTTGGTTGCGAGCAACAGAGAGTAAGGTATTTCAACATAGGGAAAAGCAGCAAAGTAATCAAAATTGAGCGTATCTCATACAAGCCAAGGACTCAGACTCATTCAGGCTATGAAAAGGTCTGTATCTGGGGACCAGGAGTACTCTTTGTCTTTTGTCTTTGTTTTTCCCTGAGTATCTGCTTCACCCATCTCTTTCCCTACAGATCACAGACCTGCTCTTTTATGGAAATATAACCTGCCTCACAGTTTCCTGAGTTCACATTGTTCTATTCCAGGAACATGGAGACTTAAAACTCAATTTACATCTGGATTGTGAGGAGCAGGGCCAGAAAGTGTATAGGTCCCACTCAAGGCAGGTGGCCTGCCCTGGTTCGATGCACTGTGACCATGGGAGGAGAAAGAAATGGTATCACAGGGCAGATATGCATTGGGACATAGGATGCTCCAGGACAAGCGCAAGAGGCATCTTTGTAAACTAGACAGGCTCCCTAGCATGCACACCAAGCCCCAGCATCTGCTGGGCTGCTCTCCTCTGAGGAGCAGTGGCGACAGCATCTGCTTCCTTAAACATCAGGGAAGTTAGAAATCAGGCACAGGAATTCCCTGCCAGTTCCACATTAGGTCCTCGGCTCTGCTCCTTCCCACCTGAAAAACAGACGTGGCCTGTCAGCATTGCTTCTCTCTCTTAGGCTTCCACAAGAGCTAATCTTTCCTTTCCTTGGCCTGCTCATCCTCATATATACCCACTCCATGATTTCCAGGCTTCCTAGAAAGCAGGTCATGCCAGGAATCAGCTGGTACAGCTTCATTCCATCTAAAGAAATTCATTCTGGTCAGATGCCTTCCAAGTGAAGACCCAAAAATAACATCCTACTTTGGGACCACCACACATGCGCACACACACACACACACACACACACACACACACACACACACACACACATATATACATACCCACACACAAATATACACATGATTTCTGTCAGATATAGCTTACTTGTTTCCTTTGAAATAAAAAATTGTGGCACATACCTTATACCAGTTTTGAAGATGCAAAAACATCTCTGTCACACTCAGGAAATTTTCCATGGGGGAAGTCTATACACTGATGCTTTCCTGTGATGTTCATTACAGACAGATCATCTTGGAAGGAACAGTTTATATATTGTTCTAGCCACACTGATGAATTATAAATTAGTTGTAAAGTGTTTTATCATCATCGCTGACAGCCAACAAATACATCTGCTTAACACATATAAACAATACAAAGGAAAAGGGAGAAAGCTATTCAACCACATCAAAAAGAAAGTAACAATAAAAAGTAAAATGTTTACATGGTACCTTAACCTTCCTTAATCAGCTACTCTTTAAAACTTCATCAGAATAATTTAAGTCCATCTGTATTAAGTAGGACACACACTTTCTTTCAACAAAATGAGGATGTGGGATTCAGATTTCCATATGCTTCTTTTGCTGTCTAATTCTAAAATATGTATTTCAAAATAAATCCAAAGAATGAATTCTTCTTTCTGAACTCTAATGGGAAATGGTATGTTAGAACTACTGTGAGTAATACAATCATATTTTGTGTAAACAGTCCAACTCTAAATTATTCCAGACTCAATGTTTAATCAGAGATATTATTGAATTATATGTTTCATGAGTTTAGAGGCTGAGATTATTTTTAGGTGAAAACTCAATATTTTGAGTTTGTCATTTTCTGCATATAATTCACAGAAAATGAAAATGTATAGATTTAATTATCTTCTGAGACACATTTCTTAATCTGATGATAATAATAAAATCTCTTCTTACAGATATCTTAATCAAAGCAACTAGTATTCTCTTGCACGTAGGTACATGTGAATCAAAACAATCTTTTTTTAAGGAAAATTACAAATTTCAATTACACTTAAAAGAATGAAAATTTATATTTTTAAAATGTAATCTTAAATAATTATAATCTTAAATAATTATAACTATAATTAATTATAATGATAATTATAATAATTAATTATAATTAATAAGGCATGCCTGCCTTATTTCTGTCCTTTTATATAATTATAATTTTAAAATATAAAATATAATATTGTTAAAATA